TGAACACGGTCGTGAGCTCTCTCAAGAGCCTTCAGTACCTTTACATGAAGTTCAATAATATCACGGGTCGGGTCCCGACTTCCTTGACTAACTGCACTCAGCTTCGGGTCTTGGACCTCAGCTCGAATAGCCTGATGGGCAATGTGCCTTCTGAGTTGTGTTCGGGTACACCGAATCCGGCTCTCGAGAAACTGTTGCTGGCTGATAACTACCTCACGGGCTCTGTCCCGTCGGAGCTCAGGCTTTGCAAAAGCCTGAGATCTATCGACCTGAGCTTCAACACATTGGAAGGCCCAATCCCGGCCGAGATCTGGAGCTTGCCCCAGCTTTCGGATGTTGTCATGTGGGCGAATAATCTGACGGGTGAAATTCCAGAGGGCATTTGCGTCAAAGGCGGCAACCTCCAGATGTTGATCCTAAACAACAATGCCCTAACAGGAAGCATACCAAAGTCGATAGTCAACTGCACCAACCTTATTTGGATCACGCTGGCCAGCAACCGCATTTCCGGCGAGATCCCGGCCGGCATCAACAACCTCCAACGCCTGGCTATACTCCAGCTGGGGAACAACTCCCTGAGCGGGCCCATCCCGCGGGGTATTGGCGAGTGCAAGGGCCTGATATGGGTGGACCTCAACAGCAACGAGCTTAGCGGCCCTGTCCCGGGCGAGCTGGCGGCCCAGACGGGCCTCTTAAGTCCTGGAAGTGTGAGCGGGCATCAGTTCGCATTCGTTAGGAACGAGGGCGGGACCCAGTGCAGGGGCGCGGGTGGGCTCGTCGAGTTCGAGGGGATCAGCAAGAACAGGCTGGCGGCCTTCTTCCCCATGGTCCACTCATGTTCCATCACAAGAATCTACTCGGGTACGGCCGTCTACACATTCGCGGCCAACGGCAGCCTCATCTATCTCGATCTCTCCTACAACCGCCTCTCGGGGCCCATACCGGACGCACTCGGCACCATGCCCTACCTGCAGGTCCTCAACCTCGGCCACAATGAACTAACAGGTGAAATCCCCTTCTCGTTAGGGGGCCTCAAGACTGTGGGTGTCCTTGACCTGTCACACAATGGACTTCGCGGCCCTATCCCGGGCTCCCTAGTTGGCCTATCCTTCCTCAGCGATTTCGACGTCTCAAACAACAACCTGTCCGGGACGATCCCGGCTGGGGGGCAGCTCACCACCTTCCCGGCCTCGAGGTACGAAAACAACACCGGCCTCTGTGGGGTCCCGTTGCCGCCCTGCGGGCCGGGCTTCTCCCACCGCGCCTCGGGCCCATCCCGGAAAAAGAAAAAAACGAGTGTGGCAGTCGGAATGGTGGTCGGGGTGGTGTTCTCCATCACCAGCATACTACTGCTCCTGTACGCGCTCTTGCGTGCCAGAAAGAGCCGCAAAACGGACGAGAAGCGGGAGATGTACATCGAGAGCCTCCCGACCTCCAGCAGCAGCACGTGGAAATTATCCGGCGTGCTCGAGCCCCTCAGCATAAACGTGGCTGCGTTTGAAAAGCCGCTCAGGAAACTGACGTTCGCGCACCTGCTCGAGGCTACTAACGGGTTCAGTGCCGACACCTTAATCGGATCAGGCGGGTTCGGGGACGTGTACAAGGCCCAACTGAAAGACGGCAGTGTAGTCGCAATCAAGAAACTGATCCACGTGACAGGGCAAGGGGACCGTGAGTTCATGGCTGAAATGGAAACCATCGGGAAAATCAAGCACCGCAACCTGGTGCCCCTGTTAGGATACTGCAGGGTCGGTGAGGAGAGGTTGCTCGTGTACGAGTACATGAAGTACGGGAGCTTGGACTCTGTGCTTCACGACCGGGACGGAATCGGGGAGACTCGGCTCGACTGGCCCACCCGGAAAAAGATCGCGGTCGGGTCGGCCCGCGGTCTCGCCTTCCTCCACCACAGCTGCATACCCCACATTATCCACCGGGACATGAAGTCGAGTAATGTGCTTCTGGATGAGAATCTCGAGGCTCGTGTCTCAGATTTTGGGATGGCTCGATTGGTGAGCGCGCTCGACACGCACCTGAGCGTGAGCAGCCTGGCAGGGACACCCGGGTATGTGCCGCCGGAGTACTACCAGAGCTTCCGGTGCACAGCCAAGGGGGACGTGTACAGCTACGGCGTGGTCTTGCTCGAGCTCTTGTCGGGTAAGAAGCCGATAGACACGGCAGAATTCGGGGACGACAATAATCTGGTCGGGTGGGCCAAGCAGTTGCACAGGGAGAGGAGGAGTCACGAGATTTTGGATCCCGAGTTGATAACGAACTTGTCGGGAGATGCAGAGCTGTACCAGTATCTCAGGATTGCATTTCAGTGCCTTGAGGACAAGCCGTTTAGGAGGCCAACCATGATTCAGGTGATGGCTAAGTTTAAGGAGCTGCAGTCGGATTTGGAGGGGGATGTTCTTGAGAAGAATTCAGCCTTTGACGAGACGCAAGAAAGAGATCAGAGTTAGCTGTGTTAAGGAAGGTTGTTCGGAATCTTTGGTGTGGAGTGGACTCGTCGGCAAGAAATGGAAACGGGCTTCGGTGGTCCCTACATTTTTCGCCTCTGTATATATCCATGAAGATGAAGGAGCAAGAAGAGGTGGCAAAGGGTTGGTGAATCCAAGAATTTTCATTCTGTGTTATTAACTACTGATATCTTGAGGAACTTTTATGTAGCCTGCTTGGGGAGTGTTGATGACTGCCTTCTTTTGCATTTTGCTTATGTTTCATCCCAAATGCTTTGCCACTGATTAGATACTGCAATAGGAGTTCCATTGAGTACAAGCAAGAGTCATAACAAGTTAAAATTGATCTTGGTTGGATTCGAGTTGAAGTAGGTTATTTTGAATAAAATTGATCGAGCTGGTTTGAGTTTGTAATTAAATAATATTTAAAGTATAATGATTAAAGTTGATGTGATGTAAAAGTATGAGAGAAACAATGAAAGTGATAAGTAATTAAAATATGTGTAGCAATTTAAAGTTGATGTGATGATATTATTTAATCATATTGATAATATCGGACATAAGATTGAGTTAAATTTGGAGTCATTTTGCGCAGTCATTTTACGATGACAACCTCATATATGGGCAGACTTTGCGCTGGGCACTGAGGAGATGAATTGTAAACTCGATCTTCTATAACGCGAATGCGCTTCGTTAGGTTCTCCAGTTGGGCACTCAATCGAGCATGTCCGACCTCAATGTTTCTCAAGTTGTTTGGAATGTCAGAATAGTGAGCCAAACTTTGCACTATACTCTGAGGAATCTCTATGGGACTAATATGATTGCTTGACCAGGACTTAATCTCATTGTTGCTAATAAAGGTATAAAAATGTCTGGCCATAGTACCCGAGTCGTAACTCAGCCCATTGTTCCAAGGGTGAGGGTATGGCAAGGAGAACATGTAGTTTGGGTTCATTAATTGAGCCCCTCGATCCTCTGCACACAAGAACTGAACAACCACACGAAGTCACGAGCCACGAAAAATGAAAGAGAAATAAAAACAAAGAAATGAAAAAAAAAAGGCAAAAGCACAAGAAAAAGAACTCAAACACACAAGAATCACAAAATAAAGAGAAACACGAGAAAATAAAACCAACACCAAAACTAAATATCCTACTTGTATTCGGCGACGACGCCAAATTTAGTATTTTACCGAGTATGGGATGAATCTTGACCTTGGGTCGATCTCTCGAAAAAGACGGTTCAAAATCTAGAATCGGTGTCGATCACACACGAAAAGAAAATAATAACATAAACATTTTAATCACGATTGGAATGAAAATTTTTCTAAAAACTATTTAGTACTAGAAAGACAAAAAAATAAAATCACTGGAGAAGTAGAAGAAGTTCTAGGGTGTCGAGATTCACACTTCAAGTTTTAAATCTATATCAAATGTGTATTGTTTGATTTAAAGACATAGACCCTCACCTAAAATTCTAGTGGTTCGCTCCCAATAACTCTCGTAATAAGGGTTTAAGCATAAACGATCTAGTTTAAGCATATGCACAAGTCTAGATGTTCGTCCCCAATACTTTTACGAACATGGGTTCAGACATAGACAAACACGTACTTCAGTCAATGAACTCGTAGATGATACAATTACGAATACATCTACCATAATCGAGCCATCATCGGATACCCTATCTCTTCTAGGTTATATATTTAGACTAGATAGTGATCAATTAACCAATCAATATAATCAAACAATTCAAATAGGTACATTCAACACAAATTCAAAAAGAGAACTGAAACCCCTAGCCCTAGGTGGAAGAATAATTCATGTTCATCAAACAAAACAAAATCTCATTCAATCAACAATAATAAATGAGAATTAAAAAACTTACAATCACAAAGAGATGCATGAATTCAATCCCAATTTGAACACTCCAAGAGTCTAATAATCATGATAAAAAGAGAAAAATGGAGAAATTCCTACAAAACTATACAAGTATATACTACATGAATTTTATTTCGACCATGCTCCAGTTATTTGAAACCCTGAACGGCTTAGTAGGTTGACCTTTGGGACGGAACCGGTCATGGTGGATTGTTCGGACTGCGTAATACGGGACTCAGGCCTTGACCTATGACCGAACCGGATCAACTCGATTTGACCCGGCCATTACATTTTTTTTTTTTACCTTTTTTTATTTTTTAAAAATAAAATTATGTGTATATATATTTATGTGGTAAATATTTATAGCAAAATACAATATTATTAAATATTTTATGAAATAAAATTTACATATAAATAAAATATTTTTATTATTTTATATAGTTATAAGACAAAAATAATAAAAATATAATATAAATTTTAATTACTTGATTCAGACCCATGATAAGTGACCCGAAGTCCAAGCCGGGTTAAAACAATGCTACTTAATCCATAAAACTCACTGTATTAAAGAATCATGCTATAAAAATAACATTTGTAGCCAACAAAATGATGATGTGTGCAAAATAATATATCGAGATATCAATATATTTTTCTATCAATTAACTCAATAATCAAACTCAATTCTAAAATCCCATTTCAAAACATCCTGATTCACAAAAAATCAATCTGCAATTTTCTAGCATATATATACAAGACAAAAGGCAGTCCACCTAATCAACAAAAACACATTTGATCCTTCATGCAGTAAGGACATTTTCCGAAGGGACAACAATCCTTCTCTTGGCCGACGCCATTTGTTGACACACTT